CTTCCTTCCTTCCTTCCTTCCTTCCTTCCTTCCTTCCTTCCTTCCTTATTTTCTTCCTTCCCTTACTCATCTAATGGCACCAAATGAAAACCCCAGAGGCAGAGATTTAAGCTCAGTGTCAAGAAAAGCATTCTAATTACATCTAACCAAAACAATTGACTATCTCAAGGGGAGGTGGGTTCACTTCCCAGTAGTTCTTTTACAGATGCCAGTTGCTATTTGTCAGGTTTACTATAAAAGAGATTCACAGTTAGGTATGGGTTAGGCTAAATTGCTCCTGAGATCTCTTCCAGCTCTGAATTGCTGCAATTCTCAGAAGTGCTTGCTCTGTTCCTAGCACTGTGTTAGGCACTATGCAGGACCCCAGCATCTGCCTCTACTCTCTAAAAGTTGATTACCTCTTAACTAAGAATCAGAGGTTATATCTAGGAAACTGTCTGACTTTTGGGCAATGCCTTTAGAGAGGGTTGCATGAGAACTCAGACACCCATACTGGCCATGCAAGGATGAGGTTCCCTAAATGACCTCGAAGGTCCCTTCTACCTCTTTATTGATGAGCTATGATCCTATGTTTCCTTACTAGTCTTCTCCACTACTAGGCCATAACCATTTCCTTTGCCAATACCTGGAAAACAGCCTTAAGGGTTGAAATGAAGAGAAGAATATATCACTGAAAGGTGGAGAACCAAACTTGAGCCAAATACCCTAAGTCCGGAACAGTATAGATGTGCCATTAGATCAGAAGGCCATTGGCTGATCTCCCACATATTTAAAGTTGGCCTGAATCAATCGTTTTGCTCTGTCCAATTTGCTGTTTGATTCTGGAGCCGCATCAATGAGTGTGTGTGCATGTCCACTTCTCCCTAGCCCAGGGAAGTCAGTGTTAGCAGAGAGGTCTCCAGCTTCCCCATTTCCTTCTATGCAAAAGAGAGGATGAGCTGCCAGATGCACATGTAAGTGACCACCCCAATGGAGAGTAATAATGAGACATCCAGCTGAGGTCTGTCTATTTCTGGACTTCTCAGATCTGTGATTTGGTTGTTGTGGGTGGTCCCTCTGCTGGTGCAGATTGCATCCTTTCCTTGTCTTGGTAGATGAACTTTGAGAGTTTCTTTGGCCTGAGAAGTTCACCCTTCAGACATCCCATTGAGGACCCACTGTGTGAACATAGATTCTTATTAAAGAAGAAACATGCAGTCTCTCGCAGGATTTGCACTCAGTCTTTCTTGCTTGGCAGGACCTCTCAAAGCATTCATTCCATGGGCTTGAAAAATTCCTTAACTCTTCTCCAATGTTTTGAGGGCTGGGGATAGTACTTCAGTAGAGGAGAAAGGTTC